GAAAAATAAATTCAATTCGGACCAATTCATAAACAATATTAGAGCCGGTCCTGACTTTTGGGAGCTCTAAAGGGCTAAAAGAAATCAAACTATACATATAAAAAATATATATTTTACAAAAAAATAAAATACATACAGTATAAGAAAGAAAATGGGATAAAAGATTAGGCGTAAAAGAGACATTGGTTGTGCTGATAAATATTAAATCATACATAACTACATTGATATAGAACACCAATTATAAAATTAAATATTAAGAACTCAATTTTACATGGACTTTCACTTACCACTTAGACAAATTTTTTCACAACTTCTTTTTCAATAAAGATGCATCACTATTTTATTTTTATTTTTTCTTATTTTGGTTTTTTTCTTCATCCCTCCCTGAATCACTGTAACCAGCATCCAAAGGAGAAAAAGGCTCTTTTAATCAATCAAATGATACAAATTTCCTTTCTGAGAAATAATGATTATCTTTGTTTGTAAAAGCAAAGTTGAGAGGAAATTAAAGCATGCATTGTCTCCTAATGAGAGGTGTCAATCATCCTTACCATTACTACTCATATGAACCTCTTTTTTCCTATAAATTTTAATATTCTTAATTATCTTCAATACTTTATTTAACCTTAACTCCCACCACTCTCTAAAATATATCACATTAAATTTCATATTCAATAAGCATACATTACATTATACATTTCCTAAATCATTAATTTAATATATACATTATACATCTCCAAAAGTATCAATCTTATATCCTAAAGCTGATATCTCAAATCCCCTTAAAAGAAAAAGTTGATTTTGATAATGATTATATATAATATATATATATCACCCATCATAATCAATATCCCGTGTAATCCCTGTTTTTTCCCCTGGACCTAAGCCAGTATTGTTTGTCCTTGCCAATTCATTGTTCACTAGCATATCAAGCCATGAAAAAAATCACGAAAAAATTAAATTTTAAGAATTAAAATTAAAATATAAATAAATAACCAAAATTTGCTATTAAATATTTTATTCTCTTCATAACTTTTTAGTGACAACAAAATTCACAAGGTTATAAATAACAGCAGTATATGGGGAAAAATTAGAGAATTTGGCCTTATTTATCCACACTGGGGTTGGAGCCGTTGGATCGTAAAGTGTTTTCGAGCCGTCCGATCAATCTAAACCAGCTTTCGAAGTAAGCAAGAATGATGTAACCTACTAACCCAATTGCATATATCATAAACAATCATCATCATTCATCACCAAAAAAAAAAATAATAATTTAACAATATAATAATTTTAAAAAAAAATGTAAAGTTGTGGCGAAATACGACATCGTTTAACCACAGATCAAAATCAAAATAAATAAAAATGCAAAATAACCCAAAGTGTGCAACAGAGAAAATCCCACTTATTATATCAGCACCTGCGCATGCCATCATACTAATAATAACCATCACTTTCTCCGGCGACAAAACCCTCGCCGGAAAAAACCGAAAGAAAGAAAAATAGAATTAATTAAATGGACGAGTCTTGGAGAATGAGAATGGGAACGCACGCGCCGAAATTACCGAACCACCCTCCCCGGAGATCCACCGGCGACACCTCCACCCACAACCGGACGACCCTCTCGGGCAACGGGCACCTGAACCCAGAGGACTTCGCCGACGTCTTCGGCGGGCCCCCGCGAACTGTTCTCTCCCGCCGGTTCGGCGGCGGCATCCCGAGATCAGCGTCGCCGTCGTCCTCCTCCGGGGATTTCTCCTGCGAGGATGCTTTCCGGCGGACGGAGGCGGTCGGTAGTGGCCGGAAATTTCCTCAATTTAAGATCCCCTTTGGAAAGCAGAGGAGCTTTTACGGCGATATTTTTGGCTGGGAACATAGTAATATTAATAATAATAATAAAATTGACGATGAGAGTGTTGTGAGATCGAGATCAAGATCGAAGGCGAGCTCGTCGTCGGCGTTGAGCTCGGAGGATCTCAGCCCTCTCCGGCCGGCGATCTCAGACGGCGGGTACGACGACGTCTACTTGTTTGGGTCGAAGCTCAGGTGCGGGTGTGGTTTAATTTGTTGAGACTAATAAATTGCTGATTTAAGTCCTCCAATTCTTCTCGTTTGGCACTTTAAGTTCTTAAACTGTATTTTACTTCTACTCTAGAATATGAATTTTAGTTTTGCGACCATTTAATTAATAAATAATTTTATTATTTTTTAATTAATGTTAATAGACCATTTAATTTTTATCATAGCATTAAATATAATTATTTATATTATATATATGCAATATCAATGTCAAATAACAACCGATCAAGAGATAACTAATTTTATAAATCATATATGAAAAACTTGTAACAATATTAAGTTCGTCAAGTATTGTATTTTAGTTTAAAAGTTATAATAGACATGGATAAAAATTCAAATTTACGTATATTACTCCAATTCATCGTAAATTGACAACCACAAAAATTTTGAGAATTACGAAGTATCAGAAGTTGAGAAATAAAGTCGAAAAATTCTGCTTTGCTATTATAAGTTTTTCCAGCGTCTCCATTTTTGTTATATTTTTTAACAATATTTTAGAAATTTGGGTTTACATCAAAACCTTTTAAATCGAGTGTGTATTTTAAAAAATGCTATTAAAATTTATGTAGTATACAGAACTGAAATCTCTATCACTTTTCAGGCCAATAAATGTCTTCCGAAAATGCCGATCCAGGCCTTTCCGAGAGGCCAACTATAACAACCGTAACATTTCCGAAATCGATTTCTTCGAGTACATGAAAAACCGCCCTCTCGAACCAAGCCGGAAAAAAAATGCATCTCCCGAGCTCACAAACACCGAGCCTATACCATCTAACGGTAGTTTCGAAAAATCAGACGACGAATTGAAATTCAATTCCCCTTCGTCGCCCGCAGTTTCATCTTCGTCTATTTGTCATTCGGAGAGTGGTGAGATGAAAACCCGAGATTATGAAATAAATGATGATAACGATGATGAAAGCATGAGCTCATTCGCGATCGAGTTTGATATAGGCAAATGCGAATGGACGTGCGAGGAAACCAACGGCGTGGATGAAGCGATCGCGTGGGTTAAAGAGAAGTCTCGCATGAACCCGATTTCTTACCAAGAAAAGTCTACAAAAGGTTATATACTTTGTTAGAATATCACTTGTGAGTTGTCCCACATCGTTTATATATGGAAAATAGACCCACCTTATAAGACTAATGGGCTACTCCGCCTTCCACCAATTAGTTTTAGGATGGAACCCCATTTGGGCTTCATATGGGCTTTTCCCTTCTTTTATGATGTCCTTCATGGTAGTGGGCCAGCACCCATTTTCTCTCAGTTTCTGTCATGGTATCAGAGCCGGTTCTATCTTGGACCGTGTGATGACGTACCCATTGTTTTCTCATGAAGTGGGCCAGCACCCATTTTCTCTCAGTTTCTGTCATGGTATCAGAGCCGGTTCTATCTTGGACCGTGTGATGACGTACCCATTGTTTTCTCTCAGTTTCTGTCATGGTATCAGAGCCGGTTCTATCTTGGACCGTGTGATGACGTACCCATTGTTTATCCCGGTTCTATCTTGGACCGTGTGATGACGTACCCATTGTTTATCCCCCACGTACCCGTTTATGGGAGTCTGTTTGTAGTAGGGCTTGGGGCACCCAGCCCAGTTGGACTTGGGCTTTCGAAGGAATCACAAGTGAGGGGGCGTGTTAGAATATCACTTGTGAGTTGTCCCACATCGTTTATATATGGAAAATAGACCCACCTTATAAGACTAATGAGCTACTCCTCATTCCACCAATTGGTTTTGGGATGGAACCCCATTTGGGCTTCATATGGGCTTTTCTCTTCTTTCATGGTGTCCTTCATGGTAGTGGGCCAACACTCATTTTTCCCCAGTTTCTGTCATAGTTAATTAATGACTAAATTACATTTTAGTCCTGTTGGTTTAAGCAATTTTAATCTTAAGATCGTTTAGTCCTGCAATTTCAAAGAACTGAGAAATTGCGAAAAAAATTCCCAAATTTGTAAATTTTTCTTAGCAATTTCAGTATTGTAATTTAAAATTTTGCTGCAATTTTAGTCCTCGGATTGAAATTGAAACAAAATATTAAATCAGAGGACTAAAAGGTGAAAAGTTAGAACGGTCGATCCTTCTATTTTTTTTTTATAAGAATGTGTACATTTGTACCGTCAAGTGTCATACTTTTAAAAAAACATCTCAATTAGTTCTGTGTTTTTCAAAATATACATGTTTGTCAACTAATTTTCTCTCTTATTTTCTTGATTATTTCGGCTTTCTACTGTGAGATTCCAAGTTTATCTAACATGATAAAATGGCTGCAAAAACTATGCAGAAATTGCAACTGAGCTTCAGCTTTCAGATGGACAAACAGAGATTTTTCAGTCAATGGTATATTATTTGCCACATTAAGCTGATCTAAAATCTAATAATCAACTTCACCAATGAGCTAATTATACAAATTTTATTTATAAGTATTGCATCTTTTTTTCTATTTGCCTATTAATTTTTTCACTCCTCTTCTTGTAGGACATTGAAATAAAGGATGAATGTGCTGCCGAAGAAGAAACGAACAAAGTAAGTATATATCATGTCAAGTTTTATTCAGTTTTTCAGTAAAAAAATGAATTATAAGTTCATAAATCTCGAATTAATGCAGATAATAATCGATGAAAAGATAAAGCTGTGGTCTACCGGTCGACAAGCTGACATTCGGCAGCTGTTATCATCTATGCATCACGTACGTGGTAACAATTAAAAATGCGACAAATATATTTCGAAATGTCGAACATTTTCATTTATGTGACGTGTTAGTATAAAATGAAAACCTATAGCTTCAAATTTCGTTTAATGTTATTAATATACGTAGTCACAAATATTATTATTTGAACTCGTTTTAGATTCTATGGCCTAATAGTGGCTGGGTCACGATACCTCTTACGAACATAATCGAGAGCTCACAAGTAAAAAAAGCGTACCATAAAGCGCAGCTTTGTCTACATCCCGACAAGCTCCAACAAAAGGGCGCGACCCTTATGCAGAAGTACATTGCGCAAAAAGTCTTTTCTGCCCTTCAGGTAAATAACTTTCACAGCAACATAGTAACATATATAGTACCATATGTCCGAATATTTGATGTTTTATCGATATTATTATTAGGATGCGTGGGCTGCATTTATCTCTCGGGATGGCTTATGCAGTGCTTCATGAACTATAAGAGCTTTGAGATTGTGATGAGTGATCAAATTCAAATCCCCATCTTAACATGTGCATATATGGTTAACGAGATTGAATATTATTGTTTAGAATTGTTGTGTGTTTGTAAGATTTGAAGGAATTAAGGTAGGAGTTTTAATTGGGTTCCATCAAATGTTGTGAACTTTCCATTTTTGTGTGCCAATTTGGCTTGCTTGTGTAAAGATCTATAATATTTGCAGGTCATTGAACCGAACCAAAATAATCAGTTCGGTTTTTGTTTGATTACGCGGTGTTTTGGTTCGGTTTTGTTACGATTATCGGTTTTTGATTCGGGTAAACAAGCTCTAAATTGTGTTTATGTAACATTTATTTAATTTTAACCGAAGTCGAGTTCGAGCTCGTTTAAAATTTATTTAGTTAAGGCTTCAAAACGTATATTTTTTATTACATAATTTCTAAATTCTTAGCTTAGATTGACTTATTAAGACTCGAATTCGACTCGTTAATATTTGATAAAGTAAATTGCATGCTCAAACATATAGTTAACGAGTTGATAAAGACTTGAATTGCTCCAATCAAGTTAAGTGGTTGGAGCCTCAATGGGAACCCAACAGGCCCACTACAGTATGAAGCCCGTATAGGTTAACAAGCCCAATCTAATTCAATCTTCATTCCAATTTCATCCCAATCTAAATAATTTCTTAGATTTACAAAGCTAATTTCGAAGAATGTATGAGTGTGTTTTTTTTATTGGAACAAATGATTGTAAAATGAGCGGGTTTTTTTAGATATCTAACTATTTAGTATTTACCAAACACTTTGCATAATCAACTAATCTAGTTCAGCTAGATAAGTGCCAAACATGACCATTTATCAAACTGCTAATTATTTTCCTAAGCCTCAACTATTTTTTTAGCTGTTTTTGCCACCTCTCGTTTTGTTTTTCGAATTTATTATATGATAATGATGTTGGATCAATCACAGCCTGGGACCATTTTTGGATTCGTATAAATCTTTTTTTTTTTTCCTTTTTATTTTTCAAATCTGTACACGGAGATGGAACGACCACTTGTCGAGTTTGTAATAATTGAGTTTAAATTATTGTTTTCATAATAATTTTACTAATATTCCAACAACTTATTTTTATTCTTTCAACGACTTATTCTTATTCCTTCAACAACTATTTTAATTAATGGTAAGTTGATCACATTTCCTCTATAAAGATCATAAGTTCAATTGATGAGAAGGGGACACAAAACACACGCAGAGAAAAGAAAGGGAAGGACAGAAAAGTAAAGGAAGAGGGAGAAGAAGATAAAAGGAGAGAAAAAGAAAAGGAAGAGAGAGAAAAAGAAAAAAAAAACGAGAAAAGGGTTTGAAAGTAAATCTGGTGTGCTACAGATTTAGAGACGTTTGTCGTTGTATCTTTGGGGAAGTTACGCCTGAACCGTTAGCTGCCACACGGGGCGTATTCTTCTTGCGGAAAGAGTTTTACTCGCTTCGGCTAAAATATTTATGTATTTTTTTTTTCAGTTGTAATTTTTTTTTTTTTTTTTAAGTTCAATTCTAATTTTCTATTTTTCAGATTATTTGTAAGAACTGAAAAATTACATATCAGTTCGTAGGATTCCCGTGTAATTTGATACCCGAAATATAACAATCGCAAGAAGAATATCTCAACCTACTGGACTGATGGCTTCTACCAGAAATAGTTCCAACACTCAGCATCCGATCAATCATGTACCTGTTGTCCATGTCCCTACTGTCGAGAAGCCCGAAAAATTTAATGGGCTTGATTTTAAAAGGTGGTAACAAAAGATGCATTTTTACCAGACCACTTTGGGTTTAGTGAAATACCTGAAGGACGAACCCCCGGTTATTGCTGAAAATGAGACCAATACTGAACTACGCATTGCGTACGAAGCTTGGGGGTAAGGTAATTACCTTTGCCGTAACTATGTCCTGAACGGCCTTAGTAACGAGTTGTACTATGTGTGCAGCTCGGTTGGTTATGCCAAAGAGATTTGGGCTGATTTGGAAAAGAAGTACAAGACCGAGGATGCCGGGGCGAAGAAATTCGTCGTCGGAAAATTTCTTGACTTCAAAATGGTTGACACAAAGACCGTTGTGTCACAAGTGCAAGAATTCCAACTTATCTTGCACGATATTCATGCTGAGGGAATGTCTCTGAGCGAGTCATTCCAAGTTGCGGCTGTGATTGAAAAACTGCCGACGGGTTGGAAAGACTTCAAGAACTACCTCAAACATAAGAGGAAGGAAATGAGTCTTGAAGACTTGATTGTTCGTCTTCGTATTGAGGAGGACAATCGTAATTCATCGGGGAAAATTCCGATGATGGAGGCGTGTGGTAACTTGATAGAGCAAGGCAACTCGAGCAAAAGAAAGTCCCTAGACAAAGGGAAGCAGCCTGCTAAGGTTTGGAAGTTTACCCGAATTTGTTATAATTGTGGAAAGCCGAACCATATGGCTAAAGATTGCAAGAGGCCAAAGAAAGGTAAACCGAGTGCCCTTGTGGCTGAACACGGCCCTGTGCCGGGTGAACTGACCGACTTTGATATGTCGGCTGTGGTGTTTGAAGCCAATATGGTGGATAACCCAAGGGAGTGGTACATCGATACTGGTACCACTCGTCATGTGTGTTCCGATAAGGAGGTGTTCTCTGAATACACTCTTGCTAAGAGTCGGAAACTTTACATAGAAAACTCCGCCACGGCTGATGTGGCTGGAGTGGGCACTGTGGTGCTGAAGCTGACTTCTGGAAAGGAGTTGAAGCTTAAGGACGTTCTGCATGTCCCAGACATCCGCAAGAATTTGGTCTCCGGATCTCTTCTTGTTGAGCATGGATTTAGGCTGGTATTTGATGCTAAGAAATTTGTTCTTAGCAAGTTTGGAACTTTCCTTGGTCGTGGCTATCTCGACAAGGGTATGTTTAAAATGAATGTAATGGCCGTGAGCCGTGTAACCGTTTTAAATGATAATGAAAAGCCTATTTCTGTTTATACCGTTGAGTGCTCTAATTTATGGCATATTAGATTGGGACATGTAAATCGAAATGCAATTAAACGGTTGATGAATTTAGAATTAATTCTTAATTCTAAAATTGAATCACATAAGAAATGTGAAATTTGTATTGAAGCAAAAATGGCTAATTTGCCTTTTCACTCGGTAGAAAGGTGTACTGAACCATTAGGCTTAATCCATACTGATGTATGTGATATGAAAAGTGTGCAAACAAGAACGGGTAAAAAGTATTTTATTACTTTTATCGATGATTGCACAAGGTTTTGCTACTTATATTTATTAAGAAGCAAAGACGAGGTTGTTGAAGCATTTAAAATCTATAAGACCGAAGTTGAAAATCAACTCGGCAAAAGGATTAAAATAATCCGAAGTGATAGGGGTGGGGAGTATGTAGCTCCTTTTGAACAAATATGTTCCGAATATGACATAATTCATCAAAAGATTGCCCCTTATTCTCCACAGTCAAACGGTGTTGCTGAACGCAAGAACCGTACTTTAAAAGAAATGATGAATGCCATGTTGATAAATTCAGGATTACCCCATAATAGCTGTTTTAACAGCAAATTATATTCTGAATAAAATCATTTACAAATTACAATATAGCTTATGATCCAACAATGTAGTTGTCTTTTGTGACTTCTAACATACTAAAAATCATTTACAATATAAGATAAGTGCACATTTAGAAACTAAGCAATCTTAAGGAATAAATTGTGTAAAACATTTATTTTAGTCAATTAAGAAACTAGAATAACAATTTCTACAAGTGCGTGTAAGAAAATTGATTTAGAGTATATTAGAGAAAAAAACTGAAATAAAATAGGTGAGGTAATATAAGATAAATGATATAGATGGAATGGAATTTAAGAGAATATATTAGAGAAAAAAAACTGAAATAAAATAGGAGATATAATAAAAGATAAAAGATATAGATGGAATGGAATTTAACACCGTACAAGTTGAGATGAGAATAGGACGAGGAGTACATATTGGGCCAAATTGAAAGGGAAAACAAAAAACAGAAAAGCCCTAAAGGACCATCTCATATAAGTGGAAAGAAAAACAAGGCCACGGCCCAAACATACCATCGACTTCATAGTCTATAAAATGTCTCGCACGTGCCTCAATCCTCATTGCAGAAGTTTGTACGTGCCGACTAATAGATTAAAACAGCAAAAAAAAATTATACATATATGTCAACCTTTATTTTGTATATTATTTTTGTATAGCATCTTATATCTGTCCAAATGATGAAAACTTACGAAATCATCTCTGATTATTAAAATTTGAATGTTTTAAATATATCTAGCGTGTTTACAATTTTTAATTCATTTAAATATCTACTATATATCAAAAAATATATTATTCTCAAGTTTCTCACAATAAAATGCAATGGAACAAATATTCTTTTGATAAAGAAAATAAAATATTCATATTTTAGTAAAATTGTAATTAAAAACTTGTGTTAAAGAGTAAATAGAAAAATGGGTATACACACAACCATTTGGGGAAATTAATGAGTTGTATATTTGAGTAACTATGTCAATGTACTCAATTGACGAAAAAATTAAAATATTCAAACATGAAGTTTTATAAATAAACAAATGAGTAGTGTAAATTTAGTCCTGTAAATGAGCCGAGCTCGGCTAGTTACCTAAACGAGTCGAATTCGAGCTTTAACAAGTCGAGCTCGGCTTGTTAGCTTTAATTTGCCAAACTATAATTTTTTTTTTTTATAAAAATTCTATTTTCAAGTCTTATCGAGCCGAGCCGAACTCGGATCGTTAACCAAACAAGCTGTAAATGAGCTCGAGCTTGGTGTTGGTATATGTGTCCTAGAAACAATCATTTTAAGAACATATATATATGATCACATTAATAATAATATTGGATTATAATTATGGTATTGTAATTAATTAAATAATTGTTTGGTTGTTTGCAATTTATTAATTAATTACTCCCTTGAGTTAATACTGTCATTAACAGAGTGAGATGTTAATTGATAGAGTATAACTTTTAAAATTGCCTCAATCGATGATCATTAAGAAATGGATATTAATGATACGCGATTAACATGTGGTCTGCATCACATTCTTGGAGAATATAGTATGTCTTACTGCTATGAATAACTGTTATTCGTGATGAACACATGGATACTTTGGAGAGTATTGGTATACCCCACCGATAAACCATTTGTTTATGTGTCTATGGGAGTATCGGTGTGTGGAATGGTGTAATAGTACTTTGACTTGAGGTCAATACGCAATTCATGTATACAGTGATTTACTTAGACCTAGTCCAAAGCTTACGCCCTTATTGGTAGATACGGGCTTGTGTTGAGTAGATCACGATATACATGGAATTGGTAGTTGAGCCAAGATAGGATTCATTCCTCGAATATAGTTTCGAGAAGACACTCGTTTTCTCTATACTGGGTTGAAAAAAATCATTGGCCAATGCACGTGATTATATTTGAAATGGTGTTCAAATATAATTGATAAAATCAACCAGTAAGATGAGATAAAATGATTAAGCTGTTTGGATAGACACACGTTCAAATCCTAAGCTTAATCGAGTGGTTCGTGAATGAAGGGACCGTATCACTATTGAATTCTACATCAAAGGTTTGTTTGTTTTGTCTATGTAAACGTACTTTATATTTTGAGTTCGTCCTTCGACGCAGTCTAGGAGTTTCGTAAGGATCATAAATTAGATTTATGTCAATATATGAAGGCCAATAGAGTCACACAATATGCAAAATATTTTTCGGCTAAGAGTGAATCGAGAGTGTTAAATATTCAATTAGATTGGAATATTTATTTTTGAGTAATGAGATTATTTTCTATTAGATAGAAAATATTTAATTAAGTTAAATTGGACTTACACTTAATTAAATCATTAATTGGATTGGGTCCAATTAACTATTGGGCTAGGTTATCCTAAAGCCCATATAATTAGGTTTAACCTAATTATAAATAGGTGGTTATCTCTTCATTAGATGAGATTAGATCATTAGATGAGAAAATGAGATACGCTGTAAAACACAAAACACTCTTGGGCTTTCTGATTGAGGATTCCTAGCGTCTTCACCAGAAAGAATTCATTGCGTTGGATCGTGGACCGAGATCTGGATTGCGTGGATACCATAGTTGAAGACAAAGCTTAAACTGTAAGTTTTCGTGTATCATTCACGCGATCTAGGATCGTATCGAATAGCTATAACCGGATCTTCGTTGTTGGTAAGAAAATTTTAAAATTCCGCTGCGCGTGCGATTGATTCGTACGTCGAAAATCCAACACTTGGCTCGTTTACCAGACGAGTCGAGCCGAACTCGAACCGAGTCAAGCCAGGCTAGTTTAATTTAACAATACTAAGTGTAATTAATCACTTAAAGAATACTGTAAATAAAATCATGGAATTTTACAAACTTTAAATTAATTTAATTAATCATGGAAAACATGCCAAGTAAATAAATAAATCTATATATATAAAAATAGATAGTATTTACCGTGAATAACATAACATAAACCTAAGAAGCATTACTTACATTAGTAAATTTTAAAATAAAATATCAATATATATTTATACATAATCCCATAAAAAAATTTGAATTATTAAAAGAGAAAATTTCATAGCCGTATTTTCAATAATTTCCTTTTTTTATTTTTAAAGACTAACACTTTCCATGATCTTTATTTTATTAAGGAGAAGACTAATTAGTCGTTCACTTTATATGCCAATTAGTAAAAGAAAAGAATAAAACTTATTATTTATTTTCATAATTTTTATTTTTATTTAATTAGTTAAAAATTATTTTAAATGAAGATTTCTGTAACTCTACACTTCTACAAATAATACAAAATAGTTGTTCACAACAATCTAGAACATCGAATAGATGAGTTAAAAATGATAAATCAGCGGTTCACATTGTAGTTACTATGTAGATAAGTAAATTATGGATAATAAAAATTATAACCTGTATAACATGTATTTTTTAAATTAGAAAAAACTATATAAAATAACAATAATAAAGGAGTTTTACGAGTTAGAGTCATACCTAAAAAATAATTATTATCCATTTGAGATCTGAAAGATAAGAAACTATTAATTATGTGTCTGAAAAATCAAATTTATCTGTACAGGGCTTGAAATACTTTAAATATCAATTAAAATTTTGAACATAATTATAAGAAATATAAATAAAAAAATAAAACCATGAATAAAAACTTAAAGTTAAAACAATATAAAAAATATAAGCAATTTTTTTTGTATGTGACATCACTTATAATAAATATAAAACTTATAATTAATAACATTTCATTATAAATATAATATATAAAACATATTTTACCTTTTAGAAATTTTAACTTATAATTTTAAATCATTCGGATCCTAAATTGATAGATTTTATCTTACAAGTGCTAAAAATTGACTCACCAATGTAGTCTCATACTATTATAATCTAAAGTCTTAAAGTTAATAATTTTAAATTAAGTTGTCGATAGATTATCCTGAATAAATCTCTAATGATGATCATAAATATGTAAATAAATATTAAGTAATATAAAACTAAGTCGGTGCCTTCGTGTATTACTGTACTAGTAAGAACTAAGGTCCTGAAAACCGAACGGATCATTAACCGGTCAAATTACTGATTCAATGGTTCACTGGTCCGACCAGTGGTTGAACCAATATTTAATTTATTAATATTTTTAAACATATATAATATTTGTATATAATAAAATTTATATAAAAAATTTTGTTAGTTAAATAGTAAGCCAATTTAAAAAATTTAAATACTTAACTAACTAATAATAACTTATATATATCTGATATAGCCATATTGAAATATACCGGCTCAAACACTCTCTGCTCGACCGGATAGAGGATCGAACCGTTCACGCGCCAACATACTCTCGACAACATACCCAAGTCGACTTGCACAAAGTCGACATATTCTTCATAAGAATGACTGCGAGAAATGGCGGATCCCCTACAAGTCGATATACCCAAGTCGACTCCCCAGTAAGTCGACATCTGCTTGAGAAGACCAACAAGAGCGTAGCCTCCGAATAACCAGAAGATCCTGAGTCAACCTCTTCATACTTGAGGTCGACTTCTTGCACCTCGAGACGAGAAGCACATTGACGACTCAACATACTTGTAGCGCACCAAAAGCCTCGTATCTTTTAATGGATAAGGAAGAATCTCATGATGACTCAGCAAGGAAGGAAGACTAATCGACCAGGGCAATTTAGACCTTTCAGGTAAACCGACCGGGGCAATTTGGGTACTTCAAGTAAGTGTTTCCTCCTATATAAAGGAGGTGAGGTAACCCTAAACCCTAACTTCCATTCACTCCACACTCTTCATCTTTTTTCACGTACTGACTTGAGCGTCGGAGGCTCTACGCCACAAACACTTCCGACGTTGAGTTCTTGCAGGTGTTTACGGCGGTCTAGCAGCAATTCAAAGGCAGTTCAAGCAGATCTGAGCTCAAAACCACCGGTTCTCTTCAGATCTAGAAGTAGACCCATCAATATCCATTATATTTAAATATTTATTTTTTATTTATTTAAAAATAATTTTAAATATATTAAAATTTATTTACAAAAAAAATTGGACCGATTCAAACTGGTCCGATCAGACCGATTTTAACTGGTCGTTGACCGGTTTTGCTGGCAACCGATTCATTCTAACGAACTTGACCAATCAACTAACCGTTTCCCGGTCTAATCAGCCGGACACACGACCCAATACGTGGTGCCCTTGTCGTACAATCCGACCATTTTGTCCACAGTGGAGTACGTATCAAAGATCTACGATATACGGCACTTTTGCACGACTAAGATGAGTGCTTATGAGGGCTTGTGGTATATGCTCGAGTAATATGAGTTTGGGTGTTGTTGTATCAACGATTCCTAAGCGTGGGCATACTTTTCATGCCTGTTGCATTTGCTTGTGGTTGGAGGGCTGCGACCGGTGCTCGACTTTCCAGACCATCACATTTACGATTTACGATTTAAGTTGATTAATGTTATGATTTTTAGTTTATAAGTATTGGTTTGTATGATTTGTGATTTAGTTTGGTTTGATTGTTGTTTTTGGTCGTTAGTTTGGTTTGAGTAGTTTGTGTGGTTCCATATTTATCAAAATTTTCATATTTGTTGTTTTTCTTCAAAGCTAGATAGTAGATAATGTTTAACTCTAGGTTAGATCATGTTTAACTCTAGTTCTAATTTAGGTTTAAATTTTTATTCCAAAAAGTTTTTAAGTAGGGTAATTTAGTAGTTTAGTAAATGTTTTTTTATTTAAATATTTATTTAAGAAAGTAAATGATAAACAATGAGTCATTTATAATATGCATTGTTACAAATTATGATGACAAACCGATCGATGGTATATCGAAAACCATTTATAATGATAAACCAACAATTCGTCGAAAACCACAGTGGAGTACAAATGATATAGGAATTAAGGCTTTTGATGGAGAAGTTGAGACCGATAAGGGTGGAAAAAATCGAGGACGAGGGTTTTACGAAGGCGTGTGGTATATGCTCGAGAGATACGAGTCATTTAGGTGCTCTTGTATCTAAGCTTCATAGTTGGCGGCATACTTGTCATTCGAATTGCATTTGCTTGTGGTTGGAGCGTAGCAAGTTGTGCCCGACTTGCTGGACTACTGGATATACTTATTTATGATTTAGTGTGATTGTTATTTTTATTTATTTATATATTTTTTTTACGTATAGGGACTTAGTTTGATTGTTTGTTTTTGGTCTTTAGTTTGATTGTCTTCTAGTTTGATTGACGGGTTGTTTGAGTAGTTTCATGTTTTATGAATTTTTTCATTGTTTGCCCCTTATTGATCAGCATTGATGTGAGCACATCAATGTTTTACTTTTACATTAGTACTTTCAAATCAATACTTTAACAGCACATCAATACTTGGAAGTACAAAATCCGTGCCGAAAGAAATCGCAACTATTAAGTATTAACACATGAAATCATATGCTTAAAAAAAATCATATCTAAGCCAAAGCATATGATATGCTCGTATTTGGGTCACCACATGATGCTGTTCCCAAACTACAAAAGGATTTTGAAAAAATTTAAATAAAATACAACACTTCAAATTACAAAATACAGAGAAATCTTAGACAAATACGGATTATAAAACATAAATTTATAAAAAAATAAATTAAAAATCCAATAACTATAATGCAATGCAATACAATACAAAATTGTACAAAAAGAAAATCTAAAGCACATGAATGTGTTTGGTAAATAGCTTTTTCAATTAACTTTTTTGTTTATCAAACAACTAACTTTTGACAAGTTGATATTTGAAGCGTTTTGGATAGCTTTTCAAAAAATGCATACTTGTCTTTTTATTTTCACTATTTTTTCTCTTTTATTAAAAGAAAACAATAATAAGTAGTCTAATTAATTACTTGCCGAATACGAAAATCATGTAATTTTATAAAACTTCAATTATGCTAATTTTGGAATTAATTATGATTCTTTGGAAAATAAGATTCCTACTTGGCATTGATAAAGGAAAATATATCTTCTTCTTCTTCTTCTTCTTCTTCTTCTTCTTCTTATATATAAGCCTAAGGACGCCGTCACAATTCACACAACTCTCATACCTCGTCCCAAACATTCTCAATTGCCAACATCGATCAATTTGTTGAAGGTTTGTTAATTTTTTGCAGAACTTGTGTATAATTTAATTGTTCCTTCCTAGGTAGTATTTGAAATTAAAATCTTCCTTTTTTTTTTTGCTCCAGTTCCAGTTGATTGTTGATTGTCTCTCAGTAAGTAATTTTGTGTAAGAATAAGAAGATTATGGGAGGAAAGATGATTATTGGCAGTGAGGCGGGATTCGAATATCGTTGGCGGTTTTCGAGGGGTGACGTGGACGAGTTTAGCCCGTATCTTATGTCCAAAATGAAAGATCGTGAGAAAGATTCAGAATTTGTATCGAAACTGAAACCTGGGTACAGAATCTTTGTGTTTGAGTTCAGAACCGACTTTATCTGGCGGCCGGTTGCCGGTGGGCCCAATACAGTTATGGACTCGGAGAGATTTAGTTGCGTGGTTTTTGAGTTGGAGACCGTTAAAAGTGACTGGATTATGCTGTGGTGCCAGGCAAGTGGAAGGACGAGAGATTACTGGATGGGCCACGAAGAAACCAAGCGGCTTGTGGACGAGGCCTTCGATTTTGCCCGAGAGAATGCAGGGGCCCATGATCATTGGGTTCCGGTGGTAGTGGACCTGGAGGTATGCACGGCCCAACAAGAGGGGGAGTCCATTGAGGCATCCATGGAAAGGGCAATCCGGGCCCAATACTTGATGCCCTTGTCGTACCTAACGGCGCACCTCTTGCCCACGGAGGAGTACAAACCAAAGAAGTTCGATATACGGCACATTTTTAGTAGAAAAATGGGCATGGTTAGGGTGGAGGAGAAAAACGAGGACGAGAAGAAGGCGTGCGGTATATGCTCGAGAAATACGAGTCATGTGGGTGCTGTTTTATCTACCATCCCTGCGTGTGGCCATACTTTTCATGCCCATTGCCTTTGCTTGTGGTTGGAGGCTACCACCCGCTGCCCGACTTGCCAGACTGCCGCATACCATAGATATGAATTGATTTGATTTTTGGATTATTATTAGTAGTAGTATTATTGCTTTTCAATTCGACTTCTATATATGACTTAATTAGTTAGTTTCATGATTGATGTTTTTGGTTGGTTTCTATGGTACTATGACTTACGAATTACTTTCATTGTTGTTTTTAGGTCGATTTTTATGGTTTACTATGATTTTTTTACTTTATTTCTTCTCTTTGTAAAAAACATGACACCAAAAATCAGTCTCTGCTCATTTTTTTACCTACACACATTTACCCAAATGTCAAAGTAATCAACTAATTTCACGTACGGTAAAATTCAAAATCAAAACCTCAAGCGTGAAAATGAAATCAGTGAGATAGGTCAAAAGACCCTAAAAAATTTGTCGAGTTATATTAGTCCAACAGCGAAAGTGATAAGGAAAAATTTTAGTTGGGCTCCTCAAACAAAGGGGAATTTGATTTGGGATTTGCTTTGTTGGTTATGCACTCGATGGTTTTGACTTTTTTTCTTTCTACAGTTAAAAAGTAAAAACAGACCAAAATTTCTGTTTTAAAATGATAAGATGTTCTTTTTATGCAGCATGTGTGTACGAAAATTACATAAAAAAATTGTGGCAGATATAATAGTGAATGTTTAGAATTTAGATATTTTTCCACCTTATGCCAATTGGCTTGTAGTTGCACAAGCTTTTAGTTTTTTATGCAGTCAATTTGTTTTGATTCTCATATAACCAATAATAATAATTATTGGTTGTGTATTTGTACTAACTAAAAAAATATAGTATTTTTTCCTTGATTTTTATACAGATGGAGTCAATTGTTGGCTCCGAAAATTGTGTAGTTGTAAGGCAACACACATTTTCCACTTACCTACAAAAATAATTTTTTTTTAAAAAAAAAAAGACAAAAGTTTGTGTCAAACTACATTATGGAAATGGTTCCTCAAATAACATTTAAAAAAAAAAAACTTTCAATTTTT